CATAAGCAATGATGGCGACGAAGTTGCCAATCTCTTGCAAGGCAACCACCAGCCTCACCTTCCTCTTCTCACTGCAGACTCCTATTACCTTTTGCTTTCTGGAAATCGAAATCGACGTGAGGAATTGACAAGCTATGTCGTGACTTGACTCGCCGACGAGATTTTTCATTGAATCCAGTATGGGTCAGTCTCGAAAACACCTTAGTTAGGTTCTTTAGGTTGTTTAGAGACATTTTTGTGCACTACAGGCCTGATTTGGTTAAGGTTGGATGCAGTTTCAACTCAAGGGACAAATTTCCCAGATTTCTAGCGAGGACTATGATTTTCAGGCTGATTTTAGACTATCATAGGGCACCCAATGGCCCTAAAGAAGGTAAATTTCGGATACTTACATTTGTAGCTTTGTTTTAGCTTTTGAATTGTTGAAAATGGTTGTGTTTTGGCCAAAATTGACTCTAAAACCCCTGGCATGGCTGCAGGTCGCACTGTCGCTGCGTGTGGTACTGTTGTGGATGGCTCGTGGAGCACAAGCGGCTCCACCTGAAAGATGACTGCCTGAAAGGATGAATATACATTTTCAAATGTTGGTTTCAGGTTGCAGGGTATTTCGAATTTGTTATTTTTATTTTTATTTTTTTTTAAATTTAATTGATAGGACACAATTAGAAAAATTGTGCTAACATGAATCTAAAATAGCTTCTGACATAGGTGTCAGAATAGGGCATAAAAAAAAACTTATATGTGCTCAACTCTTTGAGCACACATGGCTGTATCGTGCCCTCTAATCAAAGGGCATGCTCATAAGGGGCACATATATAGTTTAGTTGTTGCATTATTACCATTGCTCTATGGACACATATGTTGGTGCCCATTAACCTAATAGGGCACAAATAACTTTTTGTGCACCCTGGCCATATTTTTTGTAGTGTTTAGGTCAGGTTATTCCTACATATGTATCATGTTTGTGGTAATGCCATATGAGAATGACTTGTATGTTGATTACAACATTTAACTATTATGACCATTTTAGGTCGTGCCGTTAGGTAGTCACAAGCTTACGAAGAACTGATAGTCTCTTAAATGGTGATATTATTCACAAGGATTATGAGTTCCTCACACTGCATTTACTGGAATGCATCGCTAAACCCTCTTAAACTCCAACAATATCTTTGCTTTTTCCATCCACCCTCCCCCTTTGCTTCTGCCTTTCCCTTCTCCTCGACATTGACTTGGACTTTTGCCCTTGCTCTTTCTCTTTTTTCTCGATTTGTTGACTTTTATATTGCCCTTGGCCTTAGCCTTGCCTATACCCTCGTCTTGAACACTACCATCATTATAAATAGACTCCACAACATAATTGTTGTCACCACCATCATCATCATTCGTGCTCTTGGAAGCAAATAAAAGGGCATTGCGGGTGTTCTCAAACGACAAAGTTCCCCAGGAATATTCATTGAACATTATCAAATTATCGGCTATATGCAAGTAAAGGTCCTTTACCTTTACACTTGGATCAACCCCAATATGATAAAATGTAGCTTGAACAAAAGACCTAATTTCAGCAAATCATCCTTATCATGCATTTATTGTATTCTTTTTGCAGTAATTTTTTGGACACCATGACATTCGCATAAAGTACTTTAGTTTCAAATCCCCATTATTTGGCACTCTTATGTCCTATGTTCAGCACTCTGCCATATTGCAGCCTAGTAGTCAGAGCAAAATCTTGCTCGATAAATTTTGAAACACTATCTTGCCAATAAAAGCTCTATTTTCGTAATCATGAGTGTAAATTTCATAGGACTTTTTAACCAAAATAGTCTTTGAGATTGGTATAACTCTTCATTTCGATCCTTAAGATTTGAAATCGATAGAAGTGGGCTCTAAGTTTGTCTACCGTCAATCATTTTGATCATTCCGTAAAAAAATCTCTATTAATTAAGGACCAAAATGATAAAAATACTCTCAATTCAATAAGTATTGGGCCAAAATGATTTAACAAAATTTGAGGTTTTGGTCATTTTATCTTTTTCTAGGTAGATTTTTCATGGAATAACAAAAAAGATTGACGATGGATAAACTCATGGATTAGTTCAATTGATTTTAAATATGAGGGACTAAAATGAGGATTTATGTCAATGTCAAAGACCATTTTGACTAAAAAGCCATTTCATTATAATCACTAACTTTAGATTCTCCAAATACTGTAAATCCTTTGTTAAAAAAAAATGTAAATAGACAATTCTACTACTTGAATACGCTAAAACTGTAATTAACTCAACTGAAAACAATTTATGCAAGTGGCCCTTTACCACAGTGGTGGAAAGATGTTGAGCTCTTGCATAACGGCGTGGGTTCAAGCCTCGTCGATGACTAATATAACCTCTAATCTAACAAAATCTATCGTTTGACAAAAAAAAAATAATAATAAAAATAAAAAACTGAAAACGATTTATGGAGCCCAACTAGAGCGGAGAGATGGCAAAAGATTTTTGGCTCTCAACTTGAGCAGAGAATGACGCAATATCCACTTTTGGACCTCAACTTGACCAGAGAATGGGGCAAATAACTCAGGGGGGTCGGCTCAAGACCAGTTTTAGCGTTTAGGGTTCATATTTTCAGGGAGAGATGATATTTCTAGGGAAGAAGATAAACAAGGTGCAATGGATTAGTAAAGCAGATGTATAACGCGATGTTCAGCTTGTTTTTATTTTTTCTTTCTTTTTTTTTGTTTTTTTGGGGTATTTTTGGGTCGGATTTGGTTGATCCGTCACAAAATGAGAATGATCTGTATAAAATGTGAAGAAGTCTCTGCAGCAAATGCATGCAACTCATTTGAGTCGGGGCCATTTATTTTTTATCGTGCGACTAGTGTTCGTCCATGTTGCAGCGCACATAGGCTGCAGATTTGGCGCAGTGCATAAGAGATTTCTTTGAACAAATGATATCCTCTACATTAAGAGGGTGGGAGTGTGAGCTAAATCTCACAATGAAGTAACAATAATATATTTAAATTTACGGATACTTTGAATGTGGTCCCTAATCCCTAACACTCTTTGATTAAAACCTTAATGGTATTCAAAGTTTGATCAAAATCCCCTGACTTTGTACACCTCATTATATCACTATTAATATTTATATTTTTATAGTTTTGACATTAATTGTTTGATATTTTATCAGATTTATAATCCTATAAATTTAAAACCCTCATTATAATAGTAATATTATAAACGGCTACAATAAAAAAATTCAAACATTTTGATTGAATAAATGGATAAAAACTATGTAACAATAAGAAATAATAAATGGCAAAAGAATATATCCATAGTGTTAAAAAATCGGTACATTTCACATATAACAAAGTGGTACATTAATAAAGAAGAATGGGTACATTATAAATAAATTAGGGTCCAAACAAAAGATTAAAAAATTATGAGTACAAATGAAATTTTGAAATATATGGTTGCAAAAAGAAATTAATACATGGGTACAAATAAAAACTAAAAAGAAAATACTACAAATTAAAAAAAAAAAAAAAAGGTTGCAAATTAAAAGTTGGTACAAACTAAAAATATAAATATATGATACAAAGTTTAGCCATAAAACATAAATATACCACATGTAATTTTTCTATCATTGATTAATTATATAATATCACGTGACGGTAAACACATGGGCACAAATACAAATAAAACTTTAAAAAATATGGGCACAAAAAGAAATTAATATATGGGTACAAATTAAAACTGAAAAGAAAATTGGTACAAATTAAAAAAGGTTTGCAAATTAAAAATGGGTACAAACTAGAAATAAAAATATAAGATAAAAAATTTAGTCATAAATATAAATATACTAATTGTAACATTTTTAACACTAAGGGAATATATTTAAAAATAAAACATATTTATTATTGAAATAATTAATGATGTTATTAATACTCAAGGACCTTGATCAAAAATTGAGAAGGATTAAGGTTTTAATCAATGGAGTATCAAAAAGAGGGATGAGAACCTAATTTCTGCTTAAATTTATCTTTAACTAGAATCGAACTTAAAACTTTTCACTTACTAGTTGTGAACGAACAATTGCATAAGAGCCTTGCGAATCACATGCATGGTTGACTAACATGATTAATTAACAAAATGGAAAAGAAAGTCCAATGTGTATGAGTATTCGAATCAAATACATGCCTCACAAATCGCCCAAAAACCTGGCTAAGTGTTATGTGACGGTTCCTCTAAGTCAAAATCCACATGTAGATGCGTCTACTTAAAGTCTTCCGAGTCAGACACAACGAAACTAACACATATATAGAGTTATGGACTCTGATATCTTAAGGACTTACGAGGAACATGTTGACTACAATATTTCATTTCAGTTGAATAATACAATTTATATGGAAGTTTTTTTTTTATATATATTATTAGACCATAATATTATAATTATAGTGAATCAGTTTCAGATAAATTGTTCTAGACTAGAAATATATGCGGTTTTTGTTGGGCCTAATTTAAAAAGTTCCTACTTCGTCAATCAAATACACCCCCTATAGCACCAAGTCTCATCAACTTACGGCCTAATTTAATAAGTTCCTACTTCGTCAATCAAATACACCCCATATACACCAAATCTCATCAATTTAACCGTAAGTGAGGCTTCTAACGGGAATGATAGAGAATTTCCAGTGTGTTTAAATATATTTGTAATGACTATATGACAACGCACGAGTCGTTAGGTGCCATAACAAATCATTGAAAATACATCAATAAACCCTTAAACAAGTCACAATATTCATGCATGTGGCACATGAAAATTCCTTTTTTCAGAAAAGGGGCGTGAGTAACGCACTCAAAGAAATTTCAAACGAGACGCACTTGCTTCAGTGCGTGGGCACCTCCCCACTTTCTCACATAGCCAGCCATACAATTTTATAAAATTTCAAAACAATACAACCATACATCATAACTCAACACCCTTTTCCCTTTCAATTCCCCAACCAAATGGCCTCCAACCACAAACCCAAGAAACTTATGGTTTCCTCTTCCCAATCAAATCTTTGCACCACCCTCTTCTTCATCGTCCTCTTCACCATCCCCGCCCTTTTTCTCCTCCACACCACCACCACCACCTCTCTCTGTACCACTTCCTTTTCCACCCATCCCAGCCCAAGCTGGTCCGGCAATCTCCTTGCCGCTCAGTTCGCCTGGAACCGCCTTCCCTTAGTTCAAGACCGTTCTCGACCCACCGCCCTCAGAATCGCCGTCTTCTCAAGAAAGTGGCCTATTGGCACCATCCCGGGGGGCATGGAACGCCACGCTCACACTCTCCACACGACACTTTCCCTCCTCGGCCATCAAGTCCATGTGTTCACCTCCCCAGTCCTGCCCAAGGAGCTGATCAAACTCGACAACCAACAAGGAAGTCCGAGCCCATCATCGCCCTACATTCACTTCCACGAGGGCGAACCAGGGCGATGGCATTACAACAAGGCATGGGAGCAGTTTTTGGAAGAAAACCAACGCGAACAATTCGACGTGGTTCACTCCGAAAGCGTGGCGCTACCTCATTGGCTAGCGCGAAACCTACCGAACCTTGCAGTGTCATGGCATGGGATCGCCCTCGAAAGCTTACACTCGGACATCTTCCAAGATTTAACACGCAAGCCGAACGAGCCTATCTCCCCATCTTTCAACCAAAGCATCCAAGGGGTTGTCCCAAAAGTGTTGAACGAGATAAGATTCTTCCATAACTATGCCCATCATGTTGCTATAAGTGATAGTTGTGGGGAGATGCTAAGGGATGTCTACCAAATACCAGACAAAAGAGTGCATGTGATTGTCAACGGTGTTGACGAAGCGGACTTTGGTGTGGATGATAACCTAGGCCAAGAGTTTAGGTCTGCAATTGGCATACCGAAAAATGCTAGTTTGGTATTGGGAGTGGCCGGAAGATTAGTGAAAGACAAAGGCCATCCTATACTATACGAAGCATTCTCAAAGCTTATAGATAAGAACCCTAACGTGTATTTGATCGTAGCCGGTTCAGGACCATGGGAGGGAAGGTACAAGGATTTGGGGCCTCAAGTGCTAGTTCTTGGATCTATGAGTCCGTCTAAATTACATGCATTTTATAACGGCATCGACATTTTTGTGAATCCAACGCTTAGACCGCAGGGCCTCGATCTTACTCTAATGGAGGCAATGATGAGTGGGAAGCCGGTGATGGCGTCGAGGTTTCCGAGCATAAAAGGTACTATTGTTGTGGATGATGAGTTTGGCTTCATGTTTTCTCCGAACGTCGAATCTTTGTTCGAGGCTTTGGAGTTGGCTGTGAGTGAAGGGCCAAAGAGGGCAGCCCAAAGGGGAAGGGCTTGCCGGGAATATGCTAATTCTATGTTTACGGCAAGAAAGATGGCATTAGCATACGAGAGGTTGTTTCTTTGTATAAAAAATGAAAAATTTTGTGCTTACCCTTGATTAATTAGACTATAGATTTCTTTTTTTTTTTAAATACGTATATTCTTATTACAAATTAAATTTTCATAGGAACTTTGTATTGTTTTTACATGGTATATTAAAGATTTGATCAGCTTCTTAATTGTTTTTATATACATGGAGCTATTACTGACTTTCTCAAATCATCATTTGCCCTTTCTTTTTACTAAGTAGAGGAGAAGGTTTGAATTTAAAACGTAATGAGTTAGAGAGGAAGACTCCATGTACCATGACGATCTGCCACTTGTCATTTTAAATTTATTATCTTGTTTATATTTACTACAAGAAAAAGAAGCAACATCCATAGAACAAGCGGTGCTATTGCTAAAAGCTTGACAAACGGTAAAAAACTGTGACAACTTTGAGAAATGACATGAGCCTAACTTCTAGGTGTCGCATCATATGAGTCCAACTTTTATTTGTTTTGGTCAAATTAACGCACCTGTCTGTGTGTTAGCCGTGTCTTTATCAAGTGTCATGAGGATCTATGAAGGATGAGACATTTTGATTAGTTGTAGTAAATTCAGCCACAAAGTCTGCAAATGCTTAGGCTTTAATTGAAGTCTTGGGCCAGTAGATGATTTCATATTGCCCCAATTCGATGGCCCACTTAGTGATTCTAAAAGATCAATATAGACCATATAAAATGGATCACAACAGGTATTCTATGTTGGAAGCGATTTGAAATGATTGGAAGTACGACTAGAGTTTTCTGGCTGCTGTCACCAAGGTAAGAATACGTCTCTCCTTTTTTGGATATTTAGTTTCTACTCCGAGAAGAGTTTTAGACACATAGTATACTAGTTTTCGCTCCATCGAGTCTTCTCATACCAGAGCTACACTAGCTGCACATACAAGAATGTCTGATTCGACAAGTACTCCTTCAACTTTGTAAAAGCATCTTCACATTCGCCGATCAATAGTAGACCCTTACTTTTCTTGATTGTTGTGAAAAGTGACTTGTATTTTTCAGAGATCGTGAGAGGAATCGACTAAGAGTGGTTGCTCTTTTGGTTAGACTTTGAATTTATTTCATGGTTCGCGGCGACTTCATTTCTATGATGGCTCTGATCTACTCCGGATTGGCTTCAACTCTACGCTTGGTGATCAAATAATATAATAACTTCTTTTACACAACTCTAAAAGTGCACATTTTTTAGCTAAGCTTCATATTGTATTTTCAGAGTAGTTCGAAAGATTCTTAGAGGTGAGTGAGGTCGTCTGTCTTTTCTTCTCTCTTGACTACCATGTCATCGACGTAAACTTCCATCATCTTCCCAATATTTTCTTTGAAGATTCGAACATTCAACCTATGATAGGTTGCCCCTGCATCTTTAAGTCTCCAAGGCATAACTTTATAACAATATGTAACTCGGTCGATGATAAAAGATGTCTTCTCCATGTCTAGTTCGTACATCTTGATCTAGTTGTGACTGGAGTATGCATCCACTAAGCTTAGCAATTTCATATGGACAACCAACCTCCTTAGTGTGGGTTTAGCTTTGGCCTTTTATAAATTTAACTAATCTCATGCTTGAAATAAAAGCCAAATGAGTTTAGGCCCAATGGAGCTGGAAGAACCCGAACTACCTTTTAAGCCAAAAAGTGATGTTTCATTGTTTCTATGATTTATTTAGACTTTCTAATCAATCATAACACTTAATTAATTCTATCATCCTTTAGTTATCTCATTAGACGAGTGTATTAGTGTATAATTGATTAGTATTCTAATTAGCGAGGCAGTGAGGTGATTGATATTAATCCAATTGATTAGTATGTATTCAATCATTAGTTGAATTAAAACTTATTTTTAATTTTCTTTCTACTTTCATTATTGGTTATTTAACCATCAAGAATGACCCACAAGCCATAAGTGACATTTACATATATCATGGTTACCCAAGCCAATGTAGAGTTTAGTTGGAGAACCTATTCAGTTAGAATTACAATGTAATTCAATCATTCTCTAATTCAATACTCTCAATCACAATACCTGGGTTACTTTATGTCAAACCCTAATGTGATTATACTATCTTATAGATATTTCGGCCAAAGATTCCCAAATCATATCTTAGAGTAATCATTCTCTCATACTGAGGATTAGAGACTCCTTATTGAACATTCACATGCCTATGAGAATAAATCACTGACCTCAATAGTGTATAGAACACAGCCAAGATAAGATGTGGTCATGTCTCATTATCAAATGATCAACAACGTATCCCAAGACAACTATGATGTCTCATGTCAAATGACTACTTACATTATTTCAACCAATAAAGTTACTTGCTGAACATGTGACTAGACCTCAATGCAAGTACTCTCGTTTGATTATGTTCAATGGACTCATTCCCTTAACGAGCACCTACATACTTTTCTTAGTGTCCCTACATGAATGCCTTGAGACTATCCATCCTTCTCATTGAAGCAAACATAGTCCATACTGGTCTATCCAAATAGTCAACATTCCTCTGACAGCCCTATGACCAGGAACTTTTTGGAAATCATGGTTATGTGAAGAAGGTCTCTATAGTCTAACATTTTTAGATTACTTTTTCCATCAATCCATTGTACTGGATTCACTATTTGGATGTATATTGTTTATTGAGATAATTCTAATGAGTGACTTTGGCCTTTTGTTGTATTAGACTTTACCTATACATTCAGACATTATCCTGAAATGTTTCTTCCCAAGATTGACCTCAGGGCACATCTCCAACATGAATAACCAACATGGAGTCTGTTTCAACCCATAATGTTTCCAATGTTTAACCCAAGTTATACGCACGGCCTCAATGCAAGCAAGAATTTCTAAAGTAACTGAACTTACCAACTTTGTGTTTGATGCAAAAACACCAAGTGCCCCACCCTCCAATAAGCAAAAAAATTCCCACTAATACAGCACGTTCGTTGGCACAAGACTCATCGATATTAACCTTAAGCCACCAAGTCATTGGCAATCTTCAAATGACTTGAATAAAGGATGGAGCCACGTTGAGAAAATAAGCAACATTGAAGAAGATGAACTACCACTAAAAACACACAAGAGTTGAGTCATGAAACTGAGCTGCTAGCCAGCATTTTGCATAATCTAAGGAAACAGACTTGCCCTCAAATTGAATTTGATCGCGAAGAAACCAAATGCTCCATATAAAAGTACAAGCCACTATAATCCAAACTTTTTTAGTAAAGGTTGTAAGAAAAGTTTCACAAAAAACTTGTAACAATACTAATTGAACCACTAGAAAGGAACAAGGAAAAAGCTTCAACAACGAAGACCAAAGGCCCACAATCCAAGAGTATTCCATAGAATGTGTGAAAGAAACTCAACAGCTGAATTACAAAATGAGCAACGAGAAACCATCGAAACTCCCATATGTTGAAAAACCGCATTAGTGAGGAGGCAACTTTGTACACGTTTGCAAATAGTTAGGCTTTGCCTTGGTTGAATTCAATGAGACCAAATGGATTCCCCCAAGGCACTTGGATATCAAAGTTAAGCAAGTGAAAATAAACTTGTTTAGCTGTAAGGATACCTGAAGGAGAACCATACCAACATAAAGAGACTGAAGATGTCTGCAACAGAAGAGGAGTAGTTGTAATTAAGCAACAACTTCAAGAAAAATAGTGAAGAAATCCAACGGCAAATTCCCAATGAGAACCGCATATAAAGCCTCTTAATAAGGTTCTGACCGTATAAGCAAGACTATCAAGGATGTAAAGGTAGGAAAACAAATGCTTGCCCAACCAATTATCAAACCAAAAAGAAACTTAAGAACCATCACCCATAATCCATGTCGAATGTGAAGAAATAATAGGGAGAACCTTTTTAAAACCCAGCCACACTGAAGATTTTTTGTAAGTGGAAAGAGAAACCAAACCTCTATGCAAGAAGTGAGTATGCGTGAAGATAGCCAAATAGAGAGGAAGAATCCACCATATTTTAGCAACGCTTCAAAAGCAATGAGTGATTTAGAAGGGTCAAATCCTTTAACCCTAAGCCACCAAGATGCTTTGGGCGACAACTAATGAACAAACAAGTCAAGAAACTAGAAGAGTACCACGAGAGTCTAGATCACCTAATCAGAAAAAATTCCTCATCCACCTTTGGACTTAATATGTTTATCCACATATATGATGTGAATCCCATTTAGATCAATTGACTAGCTTTTTTCTTATCTTTTTTCATTAAGGTGATAGTTCAAATTTCAAAAACTCCACACAGTCACACACAAACTAGACTTTCTTGAGTGCTCTGAAGTTCCCACTACTCTGAAGTTTTAGAAACTAAACGTTTGTTTAAAAATTAAAATTTAACCGTTAAAACCAAAGCACCAGATACTCTGGAGCACCCAAGAATTTTTGCGCGCACACATATAAATATATGGATAAAGATAAGTCACATATAAATATATGGATAAGGTGCAACCCTATATATCATCCCGATTTAATTTATATATTTACATAGGCAACTATACATATGCCTCGGATTTGAAATTTGTCTTTTTAACTTGCAATATTCCACACTTCCTATGGTACACTTGATATATAGCCCTGAGTCATCGAAATTGCCCAAGATTATTTATGATTTGCAGTTGCCGTTGCAGACGATTTCCTGATACTCCCAACTCTATGACCATCCATTCTAGCTTTAGCAAAAACCCCATTTCTAGCAGATTTTGGTGATGCCGGCCAATGCCCATAAGCGACGGCCATGTCCTTCAAGTCTTGAAGGCTTTCAAGAGTCTCGATAATGGAAGGCATTCTAGGCCTGTCTTTGGGGTTCATGCTTATGCATTGTAATGCCAGATGGGCAATCTCCTTTGCTCCCTTAACGGAATACTGGCCGCCAAGTCTCGGGTCCATAATATAGCGCAACCTCCGACTACTATACATGTAAGGTTTTGCCCATTCAATCAGATTTTGCTCGCTCTTTGGTCTTGATTTATCCATTGCTCTTTTTCCTGTTAGCAATTCTAGCAGCACCACTCCAAAGCTGTAGATGTCACATTTTATTGTCAATTGCCCTGAAAATTGAACTTCTTCCAATGTCAATGCATTTGATTAAATCATCAACCAGTTTCATTAATTCGTAAAATTAATTAGTAACAATATCTTTCCCGATTTCTAAGGCTCCTGATATGCACACCTCGATGCACTGAAAATATAATCCCAAACGAGACCATATATACTAGAAGAAGAAAATTTGGGAAGTATATACATAACATTTT